GTCACTATCTCTGAAATTGAGAAAATATTTCTGATTTTATTTTTCCTAGAGCCTCATTCAAAAAATGCAAATGGATGGTCTTTAATCTGTTTTACTTCATAATCCTCTGGATTTGCCTTTGGCAAGCTGGAAGTCAGGGAATGCATCTTGCTTTTGTGTCTTCTCTCTCTTTCTTTCTTTCTTTCTTTCTTTCTTTCTTTCTTTCTTTCTTTCTTTCTTTTTTCAGTTTTATTCCTGGGTTGGTGCTTGTAAATTGCTTATGCCAGTTAGCTTTATTTCTCATATTAAGAACCCTAATGAAATGACTGCTTCTCCAAGACATCATTCAAGTCTAGCCCCACTGAAGTTCAGGCTGGTTTCTGGCCGTGAGGCTGGAACTGGACTTGTTCACCCTACAATATTCCGTTGCCTCCTGCTCACCTACACACAGCTCCTTGACCTCCTGCTGAACTTGGAGCTTAAACTTGGCAGCTGCATCCTGATACTAGCTGCTGCTAGACTGAGCCAGCCTGAAGCTGCTCCAAGCTCTGAGCTCAGTTGGCCCCTCCCTAAGATGGCAACTCATCAATTGTCCTCTATTTTTTTAATCTTTTATTTATTCATATATTTGGTACAGGGTCTCACTACGCAGCTCAGACTCATAGTGATCCTCTTGTCTCAGCCTCCCTAGTGCTGGGATTACAGGTGTGTGCCACCACGCCCAGTTTTGTTGTCTGGCACAGGGTGCCCATAATTCTGGGGCTGACATGGCATGCCATACTGTGGGTCGAACTGGGGTCCTTGCACTTGCCAGGTGAGCTATCTCTCAGCCCAATTGCCCTCTCTTGGGGAACATCTGAACATGAATAACTTACCAGCCACTACAGTCTGCAGCACCCACTACTCCATTCCACTCCTGCATTTCTCCGTGGAGAACACTGAGGTCGCTGGTAGTTACTATGTGGCTGCAGGGTCACGCTTCCCCTCCCATGCAATGAGCCAGGGTTCAGAAGGAAAGTGCTCTCTGTGATATCCTTCTTCTGCATTGATCTCTCTCTCTTCACTGCCCTTGTGGCCTTCAATCGTCATTCAGATCCTTGCTGAGCCCCAGGGACTCACTTCCCCTCTTCTGCTCTTCCTCACATTGCTCTGTTCCAATGTCTGGATAACAAACAGCAGAGAGATTTGTTTCTCTGCTGTTCACCATTCTGCCATCTTCCTGGAACTCAGTTTCTTCTAATCTTTTGTTTTATGCAACTGCTTTTTGAAGACAACAATTACAATTATTATATATAGTATAATGGATGACTTTTTCCTATTTGAGTCATGTCATAGATATTTTCCTTACAATGACAAATTCTTCATACGCATAATTTTAGTGGCTGTCTACATTCCACAGAGACATTTCTCTGCAAGCTTTGGAGCCCTGTGCTCCTCAGCAATCTTCCTACAAAGCCAGGTAGTCCTTCTCTTTCCTTGCAGCCATCTCAGCTGCCAGGGCTGATTCTAGCAGGGGTTAGTGGCTCCTTGATACTCGAGACCTCGTAGGATAAGGCCTGTATTTGGAAGGCCAGGGTGCTGGGTCACACTGACCTGTCATAGACCTTTAATCTCTAGCCTTAATTTCCCTTTGAAATTGAGATAACAACAACCAGCTGCCTTGTTAAGTGAGATGCTGGCTCCGAGGCTGCTGTGTAGACTGCCTGTGGTGGTCCAAATCTTGGTTTATTGGGATCATCAGATAAATCCTGAGGACATTTCACTGACCTTCTCAGACCACAAAGCTACAACTCTTGTTGCATAGGTCCTGCTTTACCTTGGTCTTAACCATCCAGTAGAAAAGTATGAAGACGAAATATAGGAAGTAAAGCCATGCTGTTATGTTGAGCTGTGGGGGACTCAGGTCAATAATTTCTGACATTGCCAGTTAAACAGAAGACCCAATGCTATTATGCGCTACTGGACTCTTTTAGAATATTTTGCTTAGTTTACACACCTATAATATTCAATAACGGAACTTAGAAAAAATGGGGTATACCGATGAATGTCCATTTTGTATTTGTGTATTCCAAGTGGTTGGGATAGATATATAGTTGCATTCTCTTAATGAATAGAATGATTTGTTCTAATGGTGTTTGTAAATAGGATCACAAGTCCACTTCTTGTACAGCAATTAACCACTAAGAAGAATATATGCAGTGTATTATTTGTTGAAACTGTACTTCCGATTGGATTTGAAACTGTCTCATTGCTATCTGTTTATCAATAAAACTTTGAAAAAAAAAAAGAAGTTTTCAGAAGCTAGCAACAGGAAATCCAGCTCAACAGAACTTAAACCATAAAGGGAATTTATTGGCTCACAGAATTGCAAAGTCCATATACAGTGGCCCGGTAGGACCCAGAACCTGAAGGATGTGGCTAAAGGTCTCAGTGACCTCTGTGCCATACTATCACTTCTCCAGTGGCCCCATCTTGGGACAGATTCTCCCAAGGACTCCTCAGACCCTGACACTGAGAGAGGCACCCCAATGCTGGCAGCTCTGGGTCACATCATCTTTCCCCATTACTCCAGCAGCCAGGCGTAGGTCAATGTCCTCCTGCCCCTACTTTGGCCCACCTAGTCTTGCTAAACCAAGAGGGGAAGAGTGATGTCCCAGAGGAGAGTGAGGTTGCTTTTGCCACAGGAGCAAATTTGAAGAGGAGCAGATAGCAGACACCACCTCACTGACCATTCCTATGACGGTGGCTTTAGGGAGGTTCTCCAAGCTGGGAAGGCTAGGGCTCCCTGTGGGCTCATTCTCCATAGCCCAGTGTGGTGCGCTCAGAATTCTGTGGTCAGTCTTCCCAGCCTCTTCTTTTGCAGCCAATGTCATTCCCTTTCTGAATCCCCTGGAACAGGACCACACCCTTGGCCCTCCCTCTCTGTGACCATGACCTGGGAGGAGGCTTAACTTCCAGGGACCTCACCAGGTGATGACTCAGTACACCAGGGTGTGTTACAGTGTTACAGACCCAGGCCCAGCTGAAGGAGCTTTTATAGGCCCAACATTTACAGTTGAGAAAGCCAGACTGATGCTGCTTGGAAGAGCTAGGTTGGGCAAGGGCAGGTGCCAGGTATGGAGAAGGAGCAGAACAGCAGAGGAGCAGGTAGCTGAGCCCAACAGTCTGCCTTCTCTCAGTATCCTGGGCCCTGGCTTTGATAGATTGGAGGAAAAAGGATACTCTGTTAATGTTTCCCACCAGCCCCTCAGGCTGGAGGCCAAAAGAGACAGGCTCTTCCCACAGATCTCCCACGGTGGCATCTCGCTATCTGCTCTGTTGTTTGCACTTGGTCCCTGCCCAGAAGGCTCACACACCACCTGATATGAGGTCAGTCCAAACAGTGCGGGAGGGTGTGTGCACAAAGCAAGGCACCCACTCCCTTTCCCTGGGTGAGGGTGAAACAGAGCTCAATGCCCTTGGGCACCACAAGCAGGATGCTGAATGGTCGGACAGTGGAGTACAGGGAGCCCATGGCCTTTCTAGGAAGTGAGGAGGCCACAGATCTGAGCCAAAAGAAGAGCATAAGAAAGGACTCCAAGGGGCAAGACTGGGGAACCATGGTCAGAGGAGAGCAGAAGGCTGCAACCAGGTTCAGGAACTGTCCAAGAATGAGCACACAAGTAAGTCAGGTGTTGAGGGAAGCACAGAGCACACAGAGGTGCTCAGAGCTCCTCCTCATGAGGTCTCCCAGGAGCCCACCCTACAGGGGACCAGAGAGAGGGGGAGGGAAAGCACCATGGCCAGCAGGTGCCCAGGAAGCTTTAGGAAGCCCGCCAGGTGAGGCATGTGTGTGCCGTGTATATGCTGTCCCCAAGACGGTGCCTGCATTTGGGCTCCCAGGGAAGAAGGTTGGTATTCAGAGGCTGGATCTTGGACTCCTAGTCAGAGGGGAAGTTTCTGGGAGGAGTGGAGATAGTGGGGCCTGCGAAGAGACTATACCAGCTGTAGCACACACCTAGATGCAGACAGGACAGGAACTCCCAAGGAGAAAAGTGGGAACACATTGCAGAGGGAGAAGAAACTAAGAGGGAAGCATTGCTGACTTCAGGAGAAAGCACCACCATCAATAATGGTGGCCATTACTGAACTGAGAGACCAGTTCGCTCCTCACCACAGCTACCTACAGATGTCAAATGACCTGCCTGACTTCACATAGCTTGTAAGTTGATAGTGCTGGGTTAGAACAAGAGGATAGCCCCTGGCCTTGTGGATCGTGAAGTGCAGTGGGATCCAGCACTTGCTGGGGTGGTGCCCATACAAGGTCTCTGACCTGCAGTCCTGGGAGCTAACTTCCTTCTTTGGAGCTGGGAGAGCAGGTGGAGTCTGGGTCAAGACAGCTATGCCCAGTTACATCCTTGATCAGCCTCAATTTGCCGGTGAGTGAAATAGATCAGGGAGGCTCTGAGCTCCAGAGCTTTTTCTGGACTGCTGCAGAACAAGGCAGGCCCTGTGAAGTGCCGGGAAGAAAAGAGGAGGTTCTCCGTAGCTGGTAGAGCACACCACTCGTGTAGCCTGCCTGCCTTCCCCTTTAGAGACCAGGAAGGTGCCACCATGACACAGGAGGAAGCTGCATAATGAGAACACAACATGAGAAGTGAGTTTTAGTATCATAGAGAAAAATATCTAGAAATGTTCATAACTGCTGAACGTAGCAATTACACTGCTGGCAATCAGTTCTAGTGCAAAGGACTTTTCACAAAAAAATGTCATCAAGTCAGCATTTGTCAAAAATGAAAGTTGTGGACGTCTTTGACATTCAACACCAGCAGAGAGGGCTTTACCATCCCCTGGTTGCCCATACAGCTATTCAAAAGTACTGAAGAAGAATAGAATGATGTAGATGGTAAAAAGTAGGGTTCTAATGGGACCCTGTGGTTTTAACTAACATCATGCTGATGGAAGAGAACTAGAAAAAGTAGATAATTCAGCAAGATTTAAAACATGATATGGAACAATAGGTCAATTGAATACACATTTATTTAACTTTCCCAGTAGAATTAAAACACAGTAAATTATTTTTGAAAGAGTATCATATAGAGATTATAAAACAGTTTACAAACAAGCATTGTGACAGAGAGACTGGTTTTCTGGTGGCTCAGTAACTTCAAGGTGGTCACAGTCCCCGGGGGGTGGGGGGGGGTCATTAGAGAGGCTCCGAGAATGTCTATTGAGGGATCACAGTAGGATCCAGACAGAGACAGGAGTTCTGCTCCCCAGGGATGGGCGACTTTCACATAGGAGTGGTGGGAGCTGGCACTCCCTATGACCTGAACCCCACTGGTACAGCACCAATGGGCTGGGCTAGGCTGGGGCTTCTACCCCCAGGAGGAGGCTGCAGAGGGAGTGGACAGGGAGGGGTGCAGGGCGAGGCCTGTGAGTGTTGCTCTTTTTCTTGCCAAATCAGTGAGTGATATTCACTAAGTAAGACCAGAAGCTAGGCTAGCACAACCAGGCCTTAAGGAAGTCATCCAAGGAGGCCGTGGAAACCCCATCACAGGGCCTGTGCCCTAGAGCATCCTGGGAGAAATGCTGAGCAGTTCGTGTCTCAGACAGGAGAACACCCTGGTACTGTGGCCCTCCTCCCCTGCCACACTGCATTTTTCGGGTGGGGGAGGGGGACTGGAGGGTGACGATGGAGGCTACAGGAGGAAGGGTGGGGTAGGGGAGAGAAGGCTTGCAGCAAGTACTGCTGGGAACCCACACGGGTGAGAATGAAAGCCCAGAGGGAAGAGCAGGATGGCAGTTCCTGAGGGAGACCTAGAGAGATCTGCAGTGCCCCTGGCTTTAGTTCCCCCTGGGAGACACTCCCAGCTAGGGGTGGGGTGCCAGCAGCAGAGGTTGCATCCTCAGGAGAGCAGAGGGAAGACCTGAGAGCACCAGAGTAGGAGAGACACTCAGGTGGGCTCATCACCCCTGAAGGATCGTCCTGCAGGTGGGCACTGGGCTTGGTTTGCCCCCATGCTATGGCTCAGCCCCTTTTCAGCAAGAGGCCTCACAATTCAGGTTCTCTACCTATGCTGTCTGAGCTTAAATCTAGACTCTGCAATTTACTAGCTATGTGGTTGACCAAGTTATTACATCGGTACCTCAGTTTCTCAAAATATAAAATGGTATTAATTAAAGTAACTGCTCTTGTTGGGTTGTTTTGTAGATAGAATGGATTAATATATCAGCACCCAGCAAAGACTTAGCACTATGTATTTGTCAAATAAAAATACAGACGTGTCCAGGGTGGATAACAAGGGAAGTAAGCTGCCCTATTGGTGACAGTGACAAAGAGATAGAGCTCTTGGTCCTCCAGCTCGCAGACAGGCAGTCATCAGGGAACTCCCTGGCCTCCATACCTGTTGCTGGCTGGCACTCAAGGAGCCAGGTGACCAGAGTTAATGCATGATAACAGTTGGGCGGCCAAATTGCCCAGGGGACCTTCACCAGCTACTGTGGGAATGGGCAGTGTCGCTTGTAACCCGACTGACCAAGTTCATGGCAAGACATCGGTGAGAGCAGACACGGCTGAGGCTCCGGGACAGCCAGAGGCCTCGGAAGGTGGGTTTTGACAGAGAGAAATGGAGGTCTGCCCCAGGCACGGGGTCTTTTTAGAATTCATTTCTGTTCGATTCTATTAAAGCAGACATTTGAAAGCAACAAGACTTAACCAGGGAAAGAGAGAATCCTGATGCAGAAGTGTCCTTGACAAGGAACTCAGAGCTGAGCTCGAGGAAAAGTCACCAAGCAAAGGTCACGAAGAGCAGAGCCACCAACCACCACAGCACAGCAGCTGTGCAGCCCTGGCCCTCTCCAGGTCCCAGGCCCCTGTGTGTCAGTCACCTGGGAGACACTATAGCAGCTCCACAACAGGCTCACCTCAAAGAAGACACTGAGGGCCGTAAGGGTGAAGCCAACGATCTGAAGGAACACAGTTGGCACAAATGGAAGGCAGCATCTTTGCCAGACTACCAGGTCTGTGCTCTTAGCCACCATATGTGTTATCCTAGAGTGCCCTGGGACAATAAAGGCAGGAGCATACTGCATGCTTGCACTTTGCTCTTCCCAGCTACTCCTCAGTTTGCAGAATCTGCCCTGTTCCCATAGTACCAATGGGACGCAGTTTTGTCAAGGTCCTCCATGCCAGACTTTGCCACCCCTGAGTATTTCTCAGGTCTTATCTTCCCTTCTCTGCCACCTGTGCAAGCCTGTGTTCTCATAGAAACACTGCCTCTGTGTGCTAGGAAGACTCCCCTCCCCTGGTTCATTCCCTCCTCTCTGGCTCTAGCCCCTGGGCCTACCCTGATGTTGCTAGGGCCCACCCTGAACCTATGTCTCAAGAGATTCTTGCTGGGAGGTGCATTCCCTTCTCGAGGTTCAGCCACCACCTCCATGAGCAGTCACCAAGCTCAGGGCCTACTATGGTGATCATCTACCTACTGTCCAGGCCATCTGAACAAGCCCTTTGTGACCCCACCTTCTCTCCCCTACCCCACCCTTCCTCCTTTGGCTACGTTCTGTCAAGAGTGGGCATGCTGATTGCACGGGCCAGATCTTAGTTGCCACCAATGTCTCCCTCACTTCCACATGGATGCCTTCTCTGTTCTCTATTTCTTGGGCTTTTCTCTCCTTCCCACCAGCAACCCACGGTGGCAATCCAGGCGTGTATCGCAGCTCCAGGTTCTCCTTCCACTGGTTTCCCTACTCCTCTCTTTCCTGGCCGTTAGGCCATGAGAAAAGTAAATCATCCAGGTCAGCAGCTGTTCAGGATGGCCGGGCCCCTCTTTCTTAGGAGGATTTCTCTGTCCCAGCGTCTTTCTCCAGCTATGCCAACAATCACCTGCTCCAAGAAGTCCTCCTGCTGTTCTAGCTGAGCTGTGGTCCGGCAGTGCTCCCAACAGGGGCTGTGCACAGTAGCTCTCCAACCACTCTGACGTTTCCTCCTCTCCTCACCCTGAGACCAGAGAAGCAGCTGCTTTTGGCAGAACACCTCTTGCCTTCTCTGGGAAAGCTGTACCTTCTCTTCTTGGGGCTCGCTGTCCCAACAGTAAAAAAAAAAAAAAAAGAAAAAGAAAAAAGAAATCCTAGGGAAAAACAAGCCCACTTCTTTCATCTTGAGAACGAGGTCAGTGGGTGCATCCCATTTGTCCAGCGCTCCACCCTACTGCCCCCCACAGCCCTCTAGGCCACTCTCAGCCCGGTTGACACTTGACAGCGCAGGCAGTTTACCTTGGCCCAGATCCAGAGTTCGGGCCCAGCCTGGGGCGGCCCCCAGCTCTCCACCTTGTTACCCGCCCCCTCTCCAGCGCAAAGAGCAGTTTAAATATAAATCAGTCTTCAGCACAAACAGAGCCTCAGAGAGCCTCGGAGCCATCACCGGAACTGAGGGCCCAGGTTTGCCGCGGCGAGTGCAAACAAGCAGAGACCAGCTCCGTAAATCTCCCCGAGTGCCTTGGGCGGGGTGCCGCGGCTCACCTCGCGCCGGGAACCTGGATCCCTTCCACCCACTGGCTCCCGCTGTACGCAGCGTCCCTCGGGCCCCTCCAGCCCCTTCCCATCCAGCCCCCTGCCCTCCGCTGCCCAGCCTACCCTGGGTCCCCTCTGGTCATCCGCCTGCAGTTCCCCCGCGCCCCCCTTTAGCCCGCAGCCTACTGCCCCCTCCAGCCACTGTCTCCTCACCCTCCACCACCCCTCCCCGCAGGCGGGACCTCTTCCTGGGCCGATCTGAAGCACTGTCGACCCCAGGAGCGCCCAGGGTCTGGCGGCCCCGGCAGCACAGACGCCGCGGGCGCCTACGGACACCTGTCTGAGGAAGCGGAGGGGGCGGGGGCTCCAGGGCCTTTGACATCGAGGAAGAGGGGAGGAGGGAGAAAGCGTTTCATCATCGGCGGCGGCCACTTATAAAAACTTGTGGACACACACGCTCTCGCTCAGTCTCCACACCGCGCGCCTCCGCGGAGCCACCTCCCCGCCACACCAGCCCCGGACTCCTGGGCCTGCAGCCGCCGCCGCGGGACCAAGGGGACGTCGCTCGCGCAGCGCCTCTGCTGCCGCCACCATGGGAATCCTGCCCAGGCTAGGCGCCCGCCCGAGCAGCAGCGCCCCCGCGGGCCGAGCCGGCCGCTGCTCCAGCGCGGTCTTCGGCAACATTAAGGTGAGCTGAGCGCGCGGGACCGTCGTGCAGGGCGCACCTTCGGCGGGGCGCCGGCGTCCTAGCTGCGTGAGCCGGGGAGGAGCTGGGCGCGCCCGGCTTCCTCCTGCGCCCTGGGTGCCGAGCTCCGTCGGGGTCGATCGCTGGCCCGACTCTGCAGACGGGCGGTGGGCGTGTGCACGGGCGTGTGTGCTCACACGCTTTCCGGTGAGGAGCAGGACAGCCAAGGAACCTGTGGGGAGCAGAGGGGAGCTAGCTGATGAGGGAATGCACCGTTCTTTGGCTGGGAGCGAACTTCGGGAGGAACGTTTGGTCTGTCTGCGGTGGACAGTTACTCCGTTCATAGGATGGGCTTGGAGGTGCCCAAGTCGGCGACTTGTGGGGACCCGCTGTGGGCATTCTGAGACGGCTCGGTGGTCAGACTTCCTGGGCGGGTGGTAGAAGCGATCCTGTCCTTCCTTAGACTTTGATCTTGTTCCTGCTCTGCTACCTTGCAAAACAGAACTTCCCAGCAAAAGAGACCTCCTCTTGGATGGTCCCTGAAGCAGGCGACCAACTTGGCTTCGCTGACCAGCTCTCTTGGTTTGCAGATGGTCTCAGGAAAGCAGCGGCTCTCCTGGTTCGCTCAGCAATTTCAGAGCAGATGCCTCTGGCCTGGCATGCTAAGGGGAGCCAATAAGGAGAAAAAAAAAAAAAAAAAACACCGGGTATTGACAGCTATTAGCAAGAGGGAGAAGGGCTTCTTCCCCAAGGTTAAAATGCTGTCTCGAAGAACCTGGAATGGGTGAATCCACATTCAGTACTGCAGGGGTCCTACACAGGACACCTCCCATGAGGAAATGGGAGCCTGCAGGTGCCTACCCATATCAGGGTGCCTTGGAGTCAGGCTGTGGGTTAGGGTGCAGACGTCCACTCTGACAATTGTTAGGATCAGGTGAAACTGAGTGAAGCCTCCAGTGGTGCAAGCTTGAGAACCTGGACCATGCTAGGGAGGGAGTGGACAGCTTACACGTGTCTCAGGGAAAAGGAGCGGAGGTCTGAGTGGATCCCACGATCACACTTAAATTCCTATTGTTATCAGAGAAGCGGGTTACCCGTTCCTGTTTCCTTCTTTCCTTACACCATGATAAAGGTTCAATTGATTTTTCACAGTGGAATGTAAATAAGACAGACACTCAGATGATTTAAAATAATGCTCAGATCTCACCTTCAGCCAGACCTGGATAGGAAAAATGTCATTTTGGTTCTACCAGTTAGGAGGGTGGAGCATCACCAGTTTGAAGATGTTTCAGCCAAGAATTGTAGCAATTTTGACACTTTAAAATTAGGAAATGACCGGAAGGGGTGGGGGTAGAGGTTGGGTGGTCTACAAGGAAGGAGACTGTGGGGGAGGCAGGGTCTGTCTCTCATTTCCTCAGAGGGGCAGGAGAAGCAGTTGCTACAAAACAGATTCCTGACACTGAGGATAAGGAGGAACCAAGAATGGGCCAATTAGGCCTGTTTTAAGCCCCTGAAATAAATGAGTTTGTGGCAGCAGTTTCTCTGAAGAGCTATAAAAATAAGATAACTTTCTGCAGGCTGCTGATTTGTGCCTGAGGCCTGGGCCCAGGCCAGCTGGCCTCCTGAGGGAGTTCACACTCATATCAGAAGAGTTTTTCTGGATTCTCGAAAATCAGATCCTCTTAATCATTACCTCTGTTGATCCACAACAATTCTAAGAATAGTTCTGGAGATCTCAGCTTGCTTCACTTATGAGCCTGAAGCCAGACATATCTGGCTGTCTTCAGGCAAGTCTAGAATCTGGATTCCGGTTAATTAAACTTGCCCTTCCCTCCTGGGTGCAGTAATGACTACCTGGGAGATTTTCTCCTCCCAAGGAGAGGCTGGGTGGTTCTGCACCATCCCAAAGTGAACAATGTGTTGCACATGTCTTGTGACATGACTAAAAACAGGAGATATCCAACCTAGGGATTTGTCACTTTTCTAGGATCTTTGTTTCCAGGACAGATTAACCAACTGGCTTTATGGACATTCCTGCAAAGATCCACATTCCTCATGGTTTAGGGGAAGGGGATCAGAGCAGAAGACTTAGCACGATGTCCCACCCCAAACTTATTCACTGGGTGATGCATCTTTCCTAAGCCTCAGGTCTGGAAAAAGTCAGCAATGAGAACAATGCCTACCTTGTGCCCCTCAGTCAGGATTATATGTGGTGCAGTGCAGGCACCGGGCTTACTAAATCAACCTGAGCTGCCCACATCTGGTTACCAGTTTGAGACCACTTCTTGCTTCAACAAATAGGAATGTATATTCAAATATCCGTTAGGAGCTATTAGTCCACTAATTTCATGATGCATAGTTATTAGTTAAGAAAAACTATGGCTAATGATACTGATAATGCCAATAATAATAATAATAATGTATTATATGACTGCACCAGAAGTAATGGAAACATTGTGCCCATATTTTGTTCTCTTTGCAGCTCTATCAGGTGTATATTATTGTCTTTCTTAATGGCAAGAGACACAAAGCTGTGCAAGGCTGGTCCTATGTGTGATCATACAACCAAGAAAGGGTGACATAGAAAGAAATCAGGCGTGAAAGACTCTAGGTTCTAACTACAGTGCAGCCAGGCCCTCCTAGCAGCACCTGCTACTCAACTCTGGTTTAGCAGGTGGGGATACCATAGATGTGCTTGTTTCTAATAGTCAAGGCTGTCCCCAGGCCCTGATGACCAGTTGTGACCAAGGGTAGTTGCATTAGCTGCAGTTTGGATGCTTCTACTTGCTAACAGGCTTATGACCTTCCACTCTTTAGAAGTCTTATATGAAGAGCCTAGCCACTCTCAGGGTTAATGTTTTGTTTTTAATGATGGTGGAATTGAACCCAGGGCCTCATCCAGGTGAGTAGCTCTCTACTCCTGAGCTACATTCCCAGCTTCTCAGAGTGAATTTATTGTAGTGAAATCATACTCCTCCAACAGGAGTAAATACCACTGTATTTAATTTAGAGACAATTTCTGTGGCCTCTGGCTTGCAGAAATTGTAGGAAGCACCAGACCTGTTCAAATAATCCGTCAGAGGGAATAGCTCAGCGTCCAGAACTCTAAATTGAAAACAGGTTCATTCATTCAGTACTTATGGGGGCATTGGTGGGAGGGAGCCCTTGTGGCTGACTTATCCTGGCAGCCTCAATGAGGTCTGTTTTTCCCTGAAATGAAACTTTCTTTTGGGCCAAACTGAGGTTATCTTATAGCAGCAGTGGTTGCTCACTACCTGCTGCCAAGTTGCAGGAAATTATACACATAAGGTTCCAGTGTAGTGAAATCATATACATGTATTCAGCGGCAGTGCTGGGAAGGGAGGAGCACCCCAGTGGAGATGGAGGGCGGGGTAAGAGCAGTGGGAAGACAACAGAAGCAAATCACACTGATGACCACTGATCTGGGAGGAACAAAAAGTGGGGGCAGCATTTTGTTCTGGCCTGTGTCTATAACTTCTGAGGCTTTTGATTCCCAACCATGGGGAGACATCTTGGGCTTAACTTCTTGATTTCCAGAACTAATACTATTTCCCAACAGCCTGATTAGTGCTCAGTAGAATTGTGACAGGAGACACCCAGAATTCTTTATCTGACTCCATGAGTTAAGATGTGCCCACTCCTCCCCAGGGGTGGTGTTTCTCTAGCATTTGGGACCCCATGCCTTTCTTCTCAGGCATCTGCATCCTGAGAGTCCTGCCTCACCCTACTTTTAGGGAGGGGCTAGGAAGAAGGAAGAGAACTGGGGGGCAGGCACTGTCCTAGGGTGCTCAGGGCTCCTCCTCCTGGATGATACTGAAAGCCTTTCTTAGCTTTTACTTTATCTCCTAGTGATACTGACGCAGTATCACAGGGAAGAACATGTTTCACAACATAGATAGCTCAGTTCATCTCTTCTTCAACATTCTCCTTTGTTTGTGGCAGTCGTTACTTTTTTCTACTGACGACATCCAGAATAGGGTGTTATGGTGGGAACTTGCTTGCTTCTTTAAAGGTTCTGCTGTTCACAAGTCATGGCTCATACAGAGGAAGATAGTGGGTCTCTTAGCCCCAGCGCCTCTTCATTCATCCTACTTCCTCTGTGCTAGGCTTTATCCTATCTCATGGTTTTACCCTGCCCCAGCCCTTTCCTGAAAATCTCATCTATGGAGGCACTGAGTGGCATAGGGCTCCAGTTATACCTCCAGACAGCAAGAAAAGGTGGAACTGGGCTGTGGGGAGTCCTCAGCAAACCTTATACAGGCCTGGGTTTTCTGCCTGACCTTTATTCGTAAGTTGCAAAGGTCACTGGTGTGCAATTGGCCACCCCACCCTTAGCTTCTGTTGAGGAATAACATTGAGAAAGAGCTGGGTGAGTTCATGCTTGCCCATATCCCCAGCATCCACACAGAGCCTTGTCAGGACCGCACTTGGCAACTCCTTCATGAGGAATCCTAGGAGAAAGTCAGCCAGGCAAAACTTCACTTATTTGGGGGCTGGAGAGATGGCTCAGTGGTCTAAAGCACCTACTTGAAACAAGCTTGGCAAAGCACAGGGACCGCGGTTCGATCCCTAGCACCACATGCCAGCCAGACCCCCCCCCTGGTGGGCTGAGCTGGCCACACACACACACAATAAATAAATGTAATAAATAAAAATAAATAAAAAAAAAACTTCACTTATTCTTTTCATTTTCTGAAAAAGTTTTATTTGAAACAGTTATAGATTAATAATAAAAATAGCATTTAGAAGGAATACAAACCTTATGTACTGCAGACATGTATCAAAAAGGAAAGGGATCGAGGCATGAGTGGAAGGGGGAGGGAACGGACAGAGAAGGGATGAAGAAGGAATTAAGCTGTGCTACATACATACTGCCAACTCCCCACAAGGAATAAACAGTGGGCACTATGCACATGTACTGATAATTAACATTCAAATACTGAAAAACAGAAAAAAAAAAACTTTCATTTAGAGGCCTGTGTATCCTTCACCCAGTTTCTCCCAGTGGTTCCACGTTGCATAACTACAGTAATTGTACTGTATAATCGAAAGCAGGAAATTGACATTGCTATCAAGTGTGTGTACAGTTCTATGCCGTTTTATCACAGGGACAGACTTATGAACACTACTCCACCACCCAAAGATACAGAACCGCTCACCACTGCCAAGATTTCCCCTGTGCTCACCTGCCCTGTAGCTACATCCATGCTCTTTCTGACTACCCTCCCTACCTCCTGGAAACCACTAATGTGTTCTCCATCTCTGGCCTTTTGTCACTTCAACATCATACAATAAGTAACAGGTGGGCTGGCGCGGCATGTGGTTCTGGGATGGGACCACAGTCCCTGAGCGTAATGACGTAAGCTTGCCCAAGCAGGCACATTAGACAGCTGAGCTCTCTCGCTGGCCCATTTGTTTGGTGTGCGTGTGTGTGTGTGTGTGTGTGTGTGTGCATGGGCGTGTGCGTGTGTGCATGCGCGCATACACATTTTCATTTCTCTGGGATAAATGCCCAATACTGTTGGCTGAGTTGTATGGTAGTTACATATTGAGGTTTTGTTTTTGTTTATTTGTTTTTTAAGAAATTGCTGAACTGTTTTCTAGCATGACTTTGCCACTTGACATTTGCTCCAGCACTGTAAGAGACATGCAGCTCAGCAACCTTGTCAGAATTTGGTATTTTTCACTACTTTTTATTTGAGCTCCTCGCGCAGATGTGCACTAATATCTCCTCAGCTCACAGCTTGCATTTCCCTAAAGGCTAGCGATGTGGAACATCTTTTCATTTGTTTATTGCCCATTTGGATCTCCTCTTCATTGAAATGGCCATAGACTTTTTTCTCTTCTTTAATCGGACTCTTACTGTTGAGTTCTAAAATTCCTTTACATATGTTAGACATTAGTTCCTTTGTTGTATACACAATTTGAAAATATTTTCTTCTGATCCTTAGCTTACTTTTTAACCTCTTACTAAAGAATTTTACAGAGAAACTGTTTACCTGATGGACTGTATCTTACCAGTCTTTTAATTTCCTGGATCTTATATGTGGTATCCTATCTAAGAACTCCACTAAACCTTAGTTCCTGAATGTTTTTTCCTCTAACTTCTAAAAAGTCTTATTTTTTTATTAATACATGTTTGCACTGCATGATGTTTACCTCCTTGTGTGGAATCAGGAT